GGGACCTCCTTGGGATGTGATCTGTGCACCAGTGGAGGGGGGGGGAAATGGGTTGCTACCCCCCAGAGCCTTGGCAAAAGTCTCCTAGCCATGGGGCTTTTAAGGGGTGACCTCTTCACCAGCATGATGCTGGGGAATTGAGGAGCTCCTCCGCCCCGACGGTCCAGCAGCTGAGTGTCTGTATGGATCTAGAGCCACTGACCGGCACAAGCGTCGGAGATCGAGTGTTTTGAACGTGTGCCGAGTGAGGTCGTATGACCAACAATGAACAGTGAGTCGGGTTAAAGCGAATACAAGAATTTAAAAAGAAAGTTACCCCCTGGGAACGGTGAGAAAAGCGAGCGGGGGAGGGGCCCCTTCCAACGAAATACTAAGGGGGGAGTGGAAGAAAAAGCGTTGAAATCTGTTTTGAGAGACTTACCAGAGCACGGATAAGCGTATGGGCGTATTTCAGAGACTTTAGCAAGTTTTCATAAAAGTAAACAATCCATAAAGATGGCGGGGAAGAGGGCAGAGAAAGACAAACCAGTAAAAGTGAAACCAGCGGGGAACATGAGCCCTCGACTGGAAGAGGTCACTGAGTTCTCCAAAATGTTGGCAGATTCCTTGCGCCCTCTGCTGGACCAGATGACTACCATCAAACAAAAGCTGACAACTCTAAACCAGAATCTTGCAACTCAGCAGCTCCAACTGACTGAGACTTTAAAAATAACTGAGCAAACGGCTGAGAAGGTGAAGGAAATGGACGCTAACACTAAAAAAGTCAAGAAAAAGGTGCAAAAGCTGGAAAAGAAACAAGCTTCGGAGAAATCACAACTTTTACAGTTGCAAATGGAGAAAGCATATTTGGTCTACAGTTTCAAGGGGTCCCAGAATTAAAAGGCGAGAATCTAAAGCAACTCCTGAGTGAAGCATTAGCCCCAGTTACAGATTTGAAAGGGAAGTATCTTGCAAGCTAAATGGATGTGGTCTACAGGTCCTATTCCTTGTACATTAAGAAGAATAATCTACCTGGGGAAATAGTGGTCAGATTCTCGAAAAGGCATGTGAGGGATTCTATCCCGAAAGCAACTACAGGAACACCCTTGAAAATCGGGGACAATACCATCAGGATTTTAAAAGACATTCCATTTGAAATAAGGCAAAAGAGGAAGAAATATAAAGACTTTTTCATTTCATTGTCTACAGATGGTTAATTCCAGAATGCGTCCTTTTCAAACTACAGGATAAAAAAGAAAAGATTGTCTCTGTTTCCAAAGCACATGAGTTCCTGAGAGTGCAGCTGGGAGAGACAGCCGAGGTCGAGAAGGAAGAAGATCACAGCAAATCTAGTGGTGAATTGGACTCAATGTCTTTCGATGAGGACTCTCTTTCCGATAAGGGGGCAGCTGCCCCTAAACGTACATATAAATTGAGGATTAGAAAAGATAAGACAAAATGAAGGCTGAAGGACTCTGAATTGTGCCTTAAAATTTTAGTTTTATTATGGGATGCTCTGGGGGCTCTCTTAAATGGTGAAAATATGTAATACTAGTGATTTAAGAGTAACATTTATATAAGCTATTGTTATAATCTCCTATACTTGGGGTTTTAGTTAGCTGTGGTTTTCTTTCCTTTCTCCCTAGATGTAGTTACCCCTTCCCAATTTTTCATTGTAGTTTGTAGTCTATTAAAAAATGCAATAAAAAATCCCCTCCGGGGGGGGGGCAAAAAAAAAAGGACACAAAAACTCTGACTAGCAATGTCATCTCATCACTGTTCATTTTAACTGGATTAATAAAATGTATCCAATGTCTGAGGTATGTATACTCCTGTGACCTATAGGATCACTAGGTGTCAGTAGAATCACACTGCTGAACTATATTAATTTCTTGCTGCAATCTCATGGTTTCTTAGTCTAGCTCTATATCAAAAATTTGTAAGGTGGTGCTTTTTAACTTTTTACATGTAATGAATTTTTTTCGTGTTAACTGCTCTGTTGAAATGAGTGAATGATTTTAAATGGGTTTTCCAGTTCAAATTTAAATAAATAATGACAGCAAAACTGAAAGAATGTTAGCAAAAGAAAGCAAATATGTCTTGTAGAAGTTTAGCCATGTACAAGCACTGAGGTTTGTCCACGCTTCATGTTTCACACTGAGCCCATCTAACATGATTGATTTGCTGCATAACAGCCCTGACAACTACAGATGAACAAACTATGTGTGCAGAAAAATTTCTGTGGAAAAATACAGCACTGGAAAACTTTCTGGAGGATTTCCCACCCTATATGAGGAAACCCTGCCTGTCTGCCATGTACCCCAGTGTTACATTTGAACTCTCAATACTTTTCTTCACTCAGGAGTCAGTTTAAACATATCTATAAGATTATCTCCTGTTTATAGACATAGACTTGGGCTGAAGGTATGCTAGTCAGATGTGTTTTTACAAAATACTTGTACAGACTATTTTATTTATGAAATATGTACACTGAAGGAATTGAAGTAGGAAAAGGTGTTCTCTTGTTTTTTATATATTTTATTTCAGCTATATTGTGTTGTCCACTTTGGCTTGCAGCAGAATTCAGCTTTTTAAATTTGTCCTGCTTCATTTGACCAGATCAGGCCATGACTTAGAGGAGGGCTGGATCAGGCCCCTGGAGGGCATCTATCAGGACCGCAGTGGAACTGGCTGTCTTCTGCTTCTTCTTCCAGTTCTGCTTCTGCTGCATAATCATAGGTTTGCAGCTTACAGATACACACCTGAACAGCATACTCAAGATTGCAACAGCACAGACATTTTGATGCAATAATTCAGAGCAAGAGGTGTCAGTTATCAGACACTGTTAAATAAAATATTGTAAGAGTGCTAATGTTTTAAGCATATTTTTATTTTAAGAAAACCCTTTGCGTTTGTGTCCTTTATAAAGTTTATATCTCTGCTTCCTGGCATTACATTTTATGACACACATGGTCCAGCCCAACAAGGTCTCATTTATGTCAGATCCAGCCCTCATAACAAGTGAGTTCCAACCCCCCCTGACTTAGAGGATTGGCATGCTTCTAGGTAAACTACAGCCATCCGTTTTAGCAAGAGGTTGCTGTAGGCAGTTGGATGAATCTCTGTTTTGAGTTTTCAGGATTGAGAAAATGAACCAGAAAAATGTCAGATTTTTGCCTTGAGTGCCAGTTCATATGCCATTTCAGAAAAAGAGACTAGAAAGCCTTCATTTCTCAGAATGTAATACATTTAAGTCATGCCAGAAAGGCTTTGTCTTGGTCCGGCTGCCAGTAAAACTAAAGAATGTGATTCCTGCCCTTTATGATTCTCTGTTCCCTTCCTATCTAGTATCGAAATTATTAGCTGTTTTACAGTTTTGTGCTCTATCTTCATTGAAATGTTTATAAATAGAAATTGTAACTTTTAGTGTCACTTTTACAAGCAAGTGAGTGGTTTATTTGATGACCCCCATGGGTTTTCTGACTAGCTATGCCTCTTAGGGTTTTTGGGTTTTTTCATATATACATTTTATTTGGTTTTAACATATTATAGGACAGGAAGGGTACAAGGGATGGGATAAGACATGAAGGAAAATTCCATCAAGTTTATATAAAAGCTGTTATAAATTTTCTGTCTTAATTCTTTGTTTCCAGATCTCTTTCTTTTAAATATTTACTAAAGCTAGTAATGCTTAATCAGAACGCTAAAATCTTCTATAATGATTCCTGAAAAAAGGCTCTATGCCATTCAAATTAGAGTTTCTCCAAGTTAATGATAGTTATATTTATTGTTCGTGGTCTTCAGAGTTTCTTTCCACTCAGTCATAAAATGGTATCCAATTGTCTCTCACTTTTTGTTTACTTCGGTCTTTTAACAGGTCTGACAATATATCCATTTTGGCTGTTTCAATTTTTTCTGTCAAAAGTTCATTTTCCATTGGTATCTCTGATTTCTTCCAATACTTAGCGTAAAGAATTCTTGCTGCCGTAACTATATGTATAATTAAGTGCTTAACTTATCTTTTACATCAGGCATAATATTAAGTAAAAACATTTCAGGTTTAAATGGTAGTGATATCAAACATATTTTTTGTAACATTTCACGCACCCTTCACCAGTATAACATCACCTCTTTACACTTCCACCAAACATGAAAGAAGAAGAAGAGGAGATTGGATTTATACCCCACCCTTCACTACCCAAAGGTGTCTCAGAGCGGCTTACAAATTCCTTTCCCTTCCCCTCCCCACAACAGACACCCTGTGAGGTAGATGGGGCTGAGAGAGCTCTGACAGAAACTGCTTTTTTTCTAGAACAGCTCTTATCAGAACTATGGCTTGCCCAAGGTCATTCAGCTAGGTGCAAGTGGAGGAGTGGGGAATCAAACCCAATGCCTCCCAGATTAGAGTCCACGCACTTAACCACTACACCAAACTGGCTCTCTGTAAGATATGTAAGATATAAAGAAGCTTCCCACCCATATCTTACATTTCCAACATTTGTCAGACATTCCAGGGTACACTCTGGCTAATTTCTCTGGTGTTATATGCCACCTATAAAACATTTTATATAGATCCTCTTTAAAAGAAACTGATTTTGTTATTTTAACATTTGTTTTCCATGTTTGCAACCAATGATCAAGATCAATATTATAGCCAAAAATGTTGGCCCAATTTATCATACTTTCTTTATATACCTCATCCATCTTATCTGTAACAAATACACATACAATTTCTTAATTAATTTATCATTTGTTTCAGATAAAAGTGTATCAAATGCCGATTGTTCTGCATCAAACCCCTGAGGTTTATCTTTAGCATATCTAGGTTGTCCTCTTAGGGTTTTTGGATGTGGTAAAAGGAATAGATGAGAACTAAATTTCACATAGCTGGCTAGCCTGTCAAAATGGACTCACAAATTTAATTATTAAAGTGCAAAACTGTTTAGCACCATACTGTACTGTGGTTTTACTGTCAGATTTATGAATGAAGTTTGCAAAATCATTTTATTTCCTTTGCTCAGGTGCCGAGAAGTTGGAGCATATGTTGATGAATCGCTGTATCCTGCAAGAAATACTAATGAAGGTTTACCTCAGCAAATTAGAAAGGTGTATATATATAATTTTAATCAAAGTTGGTTCCTTCCATTGTAAATTGCATCAGTTTTGTGAATGCTGGAAATTGCTTGGAGGTCAGTCTCCAAGTCCCAGTATTTTGGTAGGAAGCTCGGAGGTCAAGAACACATTTGACTTGCTGTTTCAAATGATTTCCTGATGTTAATTTAAAAAAATTAAATTATCAGAACTTCATGTATTTTTTTCCTGCCTACCAGACAATTTTTGATGACAACCACCATCTCTATTGTATAGAACCATTGAAGATAGATTCAGGTGGGTAGCCATGTTGGTCTGAAGCAATAGAACAAAGTTTTTGAGTCCAGTGGCACCTTTAAAGCCAACAAAGTTTAATTCTGGGTATAAGCTTTTGTGTGCATGCACACTTCCTCAGATACATTGTTGGTCTAAAAGGTGCCACTGGACTCAGACTTTGAAAAGCACCATATTTAAGCATAAGTAGGCATAAAGATGTGTGAAACCTGTGTTTTTATTTCTGTGGAGTATTTGGCATTGTTACTGTTTCTGGAAAATTTCTACACATGTGACTTGTTGATTACCCCCCCCTCCTGCCCTCCCCCCAAGTAGCTGTGCATTATAGCAGCTGGTCAACACATAACATGTTCTGAATAAGAATGCTTCTCAGAAAGTGTATCTCATCAATATCTGTGAGAGTTAAATTCATCTTAGCAGCTGAATAAAGACCATGATCCCTGCCACCAGCCTAGATGGCCTGGCTGTCAGCCGGACCTTCCGTTCTTGGAGTCTTTAATCTACCAGCTATTATGCAGTTTAGCAGACTTAAAGGAGGCCCTTTCTGCTGGTTTTCCTGGCCTAACTGCTACCCATCCTTCAGTCTACAACAAGCCACTTCATTGGCCTACTTTCACCAATTTGTATTTAATATTTCTATGAAGGTGAAGTTTTTAGAAAAAAAGTGGGACGTAAGCATAAGTAAATCTGCATTCTAATGGGCTTTTAATTAGTTTTTCCCCCCTAGTTGCTGCTTTGTTTTTGCAAGGTCTTGCACATTCCATCATCAACTTTAAGTATACTTGCCAGAGAATAAAAGTTTGGGTTAGTTGCTGCACCAGTGGAACAACAGTATGGTGGAAATCAAACTTGGTGAATTACTACAGCATTCCTAGGGTGCTAAGAAAAGAAAAACGTAGGTTTATTGTTAAGGAATCTTATTTGGAATTCAAAATAAAAAGGTATTCAGGATTGATGAAGGATGTCCACACACACAAATACCTTGGAACATTAACTAGTCAGCATTTCCTAAGAGTCAGATCGTACAAAAAGCCAGTGGAGAGGTCCACTTTGTAATCAGATCTTTCCTGTATTTTTAGTGCAATTAGAGCAGCACAAGATGTGAAGGGTTTGTTTGTTAAAAACATTAAGTGCTACAGACTAGTGCCCCAGGTTTTCTCAAGTCCTGTTGCAGAAGATACAGTAAGATCTGAATTATGCAGAATTGGAAACTCATGATTGGTTTCATAAGCTTTTCAAGAATTTGGAGGATAAGTACATCTGAGTGGCAATATTTGTAGTATTATCTCATTTGACATATTAAACTAGTATTTCTGCTTGAATTTTTTTAGGAATATTAATTCATATCCTCTTTGTTTTGAAGCATAAATGCATGCAACCTAGAGACTTTGTTGAAAAAACTCCAGAAAATGATTGGAGATTACAAAGAAAGCTGAAGTCTATGGCTAAAGATTTGGATGTACAGAAAGCAGCAATAGGCAAGTATACGATCTCAAGGACCAGATGTTTCCTCATGAAGCTATTTGACCATTACGGTCGTCTATGGAGGCCCTGCTTCAGGTGCCCTGTCATGGTGGCAGCTAGAGAAAGGGCCTTCTTAGTCATGTCACCAAAGTTCTAAAATTCCCTTCCCAGGTAGATCCATCTGTCTCCTTCTATCACAGTTTGCCACCAGTGAGTGAAGGATTTTTGTTTCACTTGGTTATCCCTTATTGTCCTTCCTACCTTTTTGTTTTAATTGCTAGTTTACATATACCTATTGTTCTTAAAATTGATTTGAATGTCTTTAACTGTCCTTTGCCTTGAGTGCCTAACGGGGTGGAAAGGCAGGATATAAATATTTTAAAATAAATAAAATAACAGATGTGTTCACACTATTTGAACAATTACACGGAAAAGAAATACTGGTGAAAATTGGGGGTCATCTCAAAGTTCTTTCAACTGTAGTTTGAAAATAATATCAGCAAGTGTAGATCATACTTAAATTCATAGGACATGAACAGGATAAAGTGTAGGATGAGGGAAA